GACTGAAAACAAGCTGAAAACATATTACTGGCTAATCGGCAGGCAGCCAAAATCGAAGCTTCGCGTCAAGCTTTTAGTTTATAAACCAATTATCAAGCCAACATGGACTTACGGCATCCATTTTTGGAGTACCGCCTGCAACCCGAACATTATTCACCGGTTTCAAAAGAAAACTTTGCGTATAAACCAGGTTATTGCCAAGCTGAGTGATCGCTACATTTTCAAACTCATTTTAAAAGATCTTTGTTCAAATTTATTTGAGGGGTATTTCACACTTTTCGAAAAAGACAAAAGGAATTAATGAATGCGTATTTTAGCGATGTGGAAAATTTCACCCGCAACTGTGATACATTGGTTGTAAACGATTTAAAAAATTTTTTTTTTCCGTCCATCGGTTTAAAGCATATTTTTAATGATCTTTGAGAAAATTTATTTTATACGTGCCACGGGCAAGGCCGGGCGATACCCGCTAGTTATTGTATATATTAATGTGTGTATATGTATTAGGTTATAAGCGCTGTATTAGCCAGTTACTTAATTGCTTGCTGCACTATTATTAAAAAAAAAAATTTAAATCAAATCGATTTTGTATATAATACAAATATATCTATATATAGTTTATTTAAAAAATTGTGGTAATAACACAGGAGCAGCAATACGCTGAACTATGTCTAAATAAAGTTCGGATACAATACACGTTGTAACAGATTTTTATACCCTGAACCCATTAAAAATGGGTATAAGGGTATATTGTATTTATGCAAAATCCAAATGTATGTAACAGGCAGAAGGAAGCATCTCCTACCCCATAAAGTATATATATTCTTGATCAGCATCAATAGCCGAGTCGATCTAGCCATTTCCATGTGACTGTTTAATTTTTAAGATATTGAAAATAAATATGTACCTAAAGTATTTTTTAATAATTAGTATATTAAAATAATTTATTAAAGTAGACAACACTTTTAAATAGACAGCGGGGCGCCGTAGACTAGGAAACTCTCCCTCTCACATGCTAGCTAAATTTTACACGAACTATAACAAAACGACAAACTTAAAAAAAAAAGTGTTTTATGACAATATTTGTACGCTGCTGTTCGAGCTATACCTTACTCAAAGGAAAATCTTATTATGGGTCTATAAAAAACCAAAAAAAAAAAAAAGAATAAAGAAAACTGACATTCTAACGAGCACTATCTACTGGTCAAAGTATGTACTATCTAAATAAAACTAAGAATACCCAATGAAATGTTGATGTTTTCAATAAAGAACAGCTAAAAAAACTTAATTATTTACATTAAAAACACATGAAATTCCAAATAAAAGCTTAGCGTGTTAGATATTATGTTTATTATGATCTTTTTTTTCCATTCTGCGTTCCCTCGATGACGGCATCGAGGATCAGACAAATAAGATTAAACATATCCTTTATCTAGGCATGCCTGTCATTAACAAGTTTAATGAGCTCAATCGTGAGTTTGAACTTTTAGATTTTAGTCGCGGAAAAATCTGCAGGGCAAGCTGAAAATCTTAGCTTCATTGCAAAAGCCTGCTGCTGTTGTGGGTCCACCGAAGGATAAATTGAAACCCGTCACCACCGAAGATGCCCAACGCTATGTGCGAGAAACGCGCAGCATGGCATCGCTGAAGATGCAGTCAAGGTCCATCGAGGAAACCACCAAAAACTTGAAATATGTAACACTTTGCTCGCAAGCAAAGGAGATTTTTCCACGGTTAGTGCACAGAAATTCTTGCAAAATTTAACCAAATTAAAGCAAATTTTCGCGTTTTGCAGCGTGAAAGGTCAAGTGCAGGACAATAAAAGCCTTTGCAGGGAGATCGAAAACGATCTGCAGCCTCATCACATGCTCATCTATAATCTAATCGAAGAGGAAGTCGAGTGTGCACTGTTTGGAATTATTTCATATATCCTAATAAACGTCTTGTATTATTCGACAGTCTACTTGAACGCATTTGAGAATTGAAAATGATTTTAAAAAAGAATGAGGATTTCGAGCAATCTGTTGTAGATATTTACGTAATGTTACGGTAAAGTATATATATTTCTGATCAGCATTAACATCCGATTCGATATCGGGCTGCCCGTCTGTCTCTTTCTATGGAAAATGGTCTCTCTCAATTTCAAAACATCGTCACGAACTTTGTTGTCTTGCAGTCAGTCGGCCGGATCGGCTTGTTATATCTTTAATGAATCGTTGGTCTAAACTTGGCCACTACTATAAAAAGCTCTTTTCAAGAATCATCCCCACCATTTGCATTTACGAGTAAAATCTTGTTAACATCGTATAACTACATAGTATATATTATATTGGCTAAAATTGAATTGTCTCAAAAGCTCTTTGCCTTTCAAGAATTCTTAACCCCACGCAGCAATTGCAATGTTTATATTCTCGTAATATATGATGATATATTTTTGAAATATCTTAGCAATTTAATTGGTATCAAATATGTGTATATATACAATGGTATTTAATCTTCGGCATGCCAAGAATATCCATCCTTTCTACCTTTTTTTCTGTTCGAATCCTTTATTCTTATTTAATGCAGCGTTACCAATTAAGGATCTCAAACGCGAGGTTCGACTGGTGGAGGAGAAATCACGCAAGAATCTTCACGGACAGTTTTAAATCTGAGTATCATTAAAATCGCCGCCAGCCGCTGGGCTACCAGCACCAATCCTAGTGAAGGCCAAACAGATTCTATCAGCGGACCCGAAACGTTATGTGCGGGAAACTTAGAGCTTGACAATGCTCTAAGTGGAGCTGCAGTCGATCGAAAAGCCATTCTAGGAACTAAAGTTGGTAAGGCTCTTCTCACAGGCGAAGGAGATCTATTCGCAGTGTGTATAATGAATGTATAATATACTTGCTCAAGTCTACAGCGTTAAAAGCCAAGTGAAAAACAATGTTAAGCTGCATCGTATGATCGAACATGAAATGCAGAAGCACAAAATGAAATTCGCCACAGTGCTGCAAGGGGCTTTGATTAACAATCTATCCGAGGGAGAGATCAAGTGATCTCTCATAATTCTGATAATCTTTAATTCATATTTCTTTAAATTAACTATATATTCTTATTATATTGCTTGACAGTCGACTTGAGCATATTGCAGAGCTGAAAGCGACGTTAAAAGCTGAACAGGAGACTTTGGAATATATGACAAATCGAGCCCATGCATTCGTTTTGTTCATGTAAGCTTTCCAAATGTAAATCGTAAGCTTTATTTGTTTATTTTTATACTGTGAACCCATTGAAAATGGGTAAAAAGGGTATATTGTATTTGTACAAAACGTAAATGTATGTAACAGGCAGAAGGAAGCATCTCCCACCCCATCAAGTATATATATTCTTGATCAGCATCAACAGCCGAGTCGATCTAGCCATGTCCATCGGTCTGTCTATCCGTCTGTCCGTCCGTATGTATGAACCCAAGGATCTTAGAAACCATAAGAGCTAGAGCCTTTTAGCTGTAGGTCCTCCTAGTCTATGCGCAGATCGAGTTTGTTTCCGATAATCGATAACTTACTCCGTTTTCAAGCAATCGATAAAAATCGATATCGAAATCCTGTTTTTTGAGCAAATTGGGTAAATAATAAGAGCTAGAGCCACCAAAAGTGACATGTTTACTCTAGAATGGTATATATACATCAAGTATCTTTCATTTTATACCTATCGCCACCTCCCCGCTACTACCTCAAAGCTATAAATCATGTTAATAGCCCAACTTCTACTGCCCACCAATTTAACCTACAATTATAATGCAATTTACTTTTTGAGAGTACAAAAATATTCTATAGTACGATAAGATGTACTGTAAAAAATTTCATGAAGATCGGTTAAGAAATAAAAGTTTGCGGCACCAGCGAAAATTCGAAGAATATCTGTATGCATGTACACACACACGAAGACTCAATTATTGGTGTGGCTTTTGAGTAGAGGCGGTGGCAAGTGGTGTTTTCTGTAGCGAGTTCGACACCTACCGGGGAAACTATTTTTATACCCTGAACCCATTAAAAATGGGATAAGGGTATATTGTATTTGTGCCATATCCAAATGTATGTAACAGGCAGAAGGAAGCATCTCCGACTCCATAAAGTATACATATTCATGATCAGCATCAATAGCCGAGTCGATCTAGCCATGTCCGTCTGTCTGTCCGTCCGTCCGTCCGTCCGTCTGTCCGTCCGTCCGTCCGTATGTATGAACGCAAGGATCTCAGAACCTATTAGAGCTAGATACTTGAAATTTTAGATGCAAATGCTCCTAGTTCCCGCAGATCGAGTTTGTTTCCGATAATCGATAACTTACTCAGTTACCAAGCAATCGATAAAAATCGATATCGATATCCTGTTTTTTTGGCAATTTTGGTAAATAATAAGAGCTAGAGTCATCAAACTTGACATATAGCTTCTAAAATAGAATATATATATTCATTTGATGTTGGAAGAAGAGGGTTCAGGGTATCCCCTAGTCGGGAGCTCCCGACTAAAACCTCTTACTTGTTTTAATTTACCTTTGTTACTTCTAAAGCAAAAGAGCTCGTAGTGCGAGCTGAATTTGGTGTTCGAATAAGAGGGTTCAGGGTATCCCCTAGTCGGAAGCTTCCGACTAGAACCTCTTCCTTGTTTAAATTACAATCGAAGAGTAATTAACACTTGCTAAGATCTGTTTTGTAAGATCAGGAGTATTAGATGGATGTAGAGTTGTCTTAAATTTAATATTAAATATTATTTAAATTTTTATTATAGTTATTATATAAATGAACTATAAGTCCGGAAAATGAACTAGCCATTGCAACAATGGTCTTTGTCTAAGGCATACACTGGAATGAGAGCCCGAAATAAGTTTTTGGAGTTTTCAATTTAGGTTAGCAATGAATTTACTTTCTATTTACTACTTACTAATTTGTTTTGCTATTTATTCAGACTGTTAGTTCTTTCTACGGTTAAGTTCATTTAATTTAATTTTTTTTTTTTTTTGAGATAAAAATATATATAAAAGAAAACGAATAAATAAGAACACTTGCAATGCCCTGCTTTATGCGTGAGAAGAGTCTATCACGCCGCCCTCGGCGTGATAAGGCGCCCGAACGAGATGTATTGGCGCCCAAGCCAGTGCATCCTCGCGCCTTGAGATTCCATGGACTCTTTGGTATGTCCTATGTGCGCCAGCATGTGATGGTTGACGATCGATGGACGCCCAACTCATTGACCGAGGAATTCGGGGGCATGTCTCAATTGTTGGGTAAGTCTTCGATGCACATTGTACACATATACCTTAATGTCAAATAATACTTATTGATAGCCCGTCGTGCGGTCTTCAAGCGGCACGAGACAAAGGCCAATCGGCAGCGCTACTTTCTAGAAAGTAAACGGTTGAAATTACAGTGTCGCGATGGACGGTCTAAGCTTCAGAAAATACTTACCGGAGATAATACCCACAAGATTCGCAATTTCTTGACCAACCACAGGGACATGCAGCGTCTGTACCAGAGAATGCCCATACACCTGGTCGTGGATAATATCAATCAGCGTACATTTGTCCTGCGCAAGGAGCGGGATCGTCTGGAGTGTCGATTGGTTCAACTAAAAAGTCGATACCGAGATATGCTAGTAAGTTGCCGACTAGGGTCTAGCTATTGTGATTAATTTCTTTAATGCAGATGAAACGCGCCATGCTGGAAAATCGTATCAAGTATCAAAACGAATATGTGTTGGATGAGGAGATCAAATCGCGTGGTTTCATCAAAAGAATTGAGAATTCGAATGTGCGCTTGAAGGCCATCAAGGCCATCAACTCGACATATATGAAAATGATACAGGTGCTACGTCACGATGCAATCTTTTATGAGCCAATTCTGCGTTCTCTTGATGGGGACATGGAGGATCAGGCGAATTTCATAAAGCACATACTCTATTTGGGTATGCCGGCCATAGCCAAGTTTAAGGAGCTTAACTACGAGTACCGACAGCTGGAGGATAAGTCTCGGAAAAATCTTCAGGCTAAGCTACATATGTTGTCCTCATTTAAAATCGCAAAGCCACTCGGTTCTTTGCTGGCAACGCGTGGCAAGGCCAAAGAGGAGATCCCACCCAGCGCAGATCCCAAGCGCTATTTGAGGGAGACGCGCAGCATGCTCGTGCTCAAGCTAATGCTCAAGTCCGTCGAGAAGACAATTAGGGAGGTGAAGTTTGTGACACTTTGCTCGCAGGCGCGGGAGATTTATCCACGGTAAGCGTTCTGATACGATAAACAACCCAAGTTGAATATTCCAATTGCAGCATGAAGAGCCAAGTGGACAACAATGAGAAGCTCCATCGCATCATCGAGTGCGATATGTTGGCTCATGAGATGCTCGAGACGAAAATGAAATGCGCCAATGTTTTGAAGGGTGTACTGGTGAACAATCTATCCGAGGAGGAGATCAAGTGAGATACTTTTTAAAATCTAATTTGTTACTTAAGTTAAAATCATGCTCAACAGTCGGCTTGAGCGCATTAAGGATTTGCGCAAAATGTTTGCATCCGAAACGGAGTACGAGCAGTCGACTTTAACCTATCTGAAAAATCGCGGCGATGCCTATGTCATGTTGCGGTAAGTAAACACAATATATTACATTTTTAAATTAGAACTGAGCTGCCCGAATTTGAGAGACTAAAATAGCTTAATTAATCACAAATACCCGGCAGAAAATTAAGCTGAAAATATGCTTAATCATTTGAACTCTAACTACAATGTCTATAAGTTCCATGGCTAAGCGAATACTCCGTATTTATCATTTATCCAATATGTCTAATGAGGTGATATCGAAAAAAAATAAATCAATATAATGCTCTTATGGCCTAAGATTTCAAGCGTTGCTTGACATGCCTAAAATATGTTACACAAACACTCTGACCTTCCATAACCATGCTATACTATGCAATTGGCAGTTAAGAATAAGGGATTTTTTTAAATTATGCACCATGTTGCCAGACTAAGCCATTGGCAGCGAAGAATGAGGGATTTTCATCAAGTGTGTAAAATGTAGACTATGTCATAAGCCGTTGAGTATTAGAGATATTTTGAGCCCCGTTAAGATTAAGGGACATTTTTATACCCTGAACCCATTGAAAATGGGTAAAAGGGGTATATTGTATTTGTGCAAAATGCAAATGTATGCAACAGGCATCAATAGCAGAGTCGATCTAGCCATGTGCGTCCGTCCGTCCGTCCGTCCGTCCATCCGTATGTATGAACGCAAGGATCTCAGAACCTATAAGAGCTAGGGACTTTAGATGTAAGTGCTCCTAGTGCCTGCTCAGATCGAGTTTATTTCCGATAATCGATAACTTACTCCGTTTCCAAGCAATCGATAAAAGTCGATATCGATATCCTGTTTTTTGGGCAATTTTGGTAAATAATAAACTTGACATGTAGTTTCTAGAATAGTATATATATTTGCATTTGGTGTTGGAAGAAGAGGGCTCAGGGTGTCCCCTAGTCCGGAGCTCCCGACTAGAACCTCCTACTTTTTTATTTTGCATTAATTCCCAGCATTCGATTTTTCGTTAATAAATTAACTTAAATAAATTTACTATTACAGCGTAAGTATTTGGAATCTTATTGAAATACTACGGCACGTAGATCGCCAGCCAAAATTATTGCGTTCTCACTATCCGAATTCGTATTTGAAGTTGCCACTTCTCAAATTCGAAATGCTCAATATGCGCGCCGCAGCACCAGAGATTTACGAGGAAAACAGTTGAGTACAAATAATATGATATATAACAATATAATATATATATAGCAATATAATACATCTGAAATTATTTTAATTACACAGTTGATATTGTGATGCACGTATTGAAGCGTAAGGTGTACAAATTGATGAAGGGCTACTTGATGGAAATGAAACCGGCAATTTTAGCTCGCAATAGGGAAGAGTATCATGCCGATTTCCTTGCCAGCCTCGAATTGTTCGAGCAAGTCGATGAGGATGAGCAGCAGGTCGTGTCGCCCGGAGATGATCTACTTACGGAGAACAAGACAATGGCAAATGTGCCAAATCGCAAACAGATAAAGGCGCAGAGTAGTAAATTCTTAGAGGAACTGGCAAAACGGGATGAATAACCCACATGTATCTCTTTTAATTTAAACCAACAAAATTTTAAGTCTTAAATATTTAAGAGAGCTGATGGCCAAACTTTTAAGAGTCTACACACATCCGATTGTAGAGTAATGCAATGAATTTGGTCATAATAAATAGTAACATGAGGAAAAAAAAACATTAGAAGAAAAATTGAATAAATCGTGAGTTGCATTGGACAATCGCCAGCCAAACAATGGAAGCGTTGAGGCTATGACGTTGTCTGCTGAAGTCGCTAGTTAACTTCATATAATTGATCCAAAATTGCTGCAAACAGTCGGTTGGCAGCGCTGTCTGGGATTTCATCGCCTCAACTTTGGCTTTTGCTTTGGAATTCGGCTGCAATGCGACGCCCTCCTGTTTGGGTTTTCAGTAGTCGCCACAATTGTGGCCAAGAGAGTCTCTCATTTTATTTATGAGCTGTGTACCCAGATACTTATCTTATAGATCAAAGCTGTGATTGTTCTTCATTTAAAAAATAGTTTTGGATATAATACGATCTGTGGGTTCAACGACATACTTTACAACACTTAGGTGCTAAATATTTAAACAATATTAAGCTCGTTATAGTGTGCATAAGCATTTCAATAGGCCCCCTTAATCATTTCCTCTGACCCCATAAAAAGCCACTTCCTCTAGGGAGAAAAGAAAACCGAAATTTCTATTGTAAATGAAATATTCATAAATATTTAACAACTTTATTTAGACAAAATAATCTAAGTGCCATTCAAGCAGTCACCGTCAACTTAAAATTAAACCAGTAAGAGTATCCGACGGGAAAATACCCTAAACACACAGACGCATGCACAGAGAAGCGCATTAAGTTGCGCTCTTTACGCTGCAGCTGTGCTTTTTTTCCACATTCCTTAGTTTGATACTATCTGACCTATAAAACAGAAATGTATCTGTTGCTAATAATACTGTAGCGAATGAGTTCTGGATTAAATTCAGTCCTTGTGGTACGTTCTTTTTTGAACTATCATGGGATAAATATGACCTGACAGACTCTAAATCAAATTTGTTGTCTCTGCCTCTTATAAGCTCCGAGATACGCTATATAAGCCTATAATTGAAAATAGGTTTTTATCGAGTTCGTGAAGTCAGTCATTTAACAAACTGCATCTGCGGGAATAACTTATAGACTAATTCTATATTTTGATTATTATAGGGCATTCCTGTGATGGGTCAGCAGCCGAATATGCTGGCACAGGCAACCCCTTTGACTGGGGGGCAACCGACGATGATGGGCGCGCCGCACAATAATGCGGCGGGGCCAACGACGGGCATTATGCAACCCACGCAGGCGACGCAGAATGGAGGCAATAAAAATGTTCCACTCGATCCATTTGGGGCGTTATATGGCGCCATCGCAACACGCACTCACACACAGAAACACACACACACACACACGTTAAGCGCTATAACCTCATAGACCAGCAAACATTACAAAATCACACACACACACATACACATAATATAATATATATAAATATATATTTGCAGATATTATAAAAATAATGAAATTCAAGACAAAACTAAGAAATTATAAATGTTTACAATATGCTACATACGAAAAGGAAATGCTAAGAATTCTATAATCATGTTGAGCAAAAACACACACACATATATACATATATAAATGAAATTGCTATATACATATACGTATATATATATACATATATATTTATATTATTACTATAAAAGTTAAAATGAGTTTGAATATTTATATGTATACATCTATTTATGTAAGTGTATGCAACAATTTCCATAATTAGCTAAAGTGAAACAAAACAACAGAAAAAATATTTAAAAAATATTTAAAGTGAAACAAAACAACAGAAAAAATATTTAAAAAAGGTGCAAATATACCTACGTATATGTATGTACATCCTTCAAAATAAGTGTAAGCAAAAACCTGTAGTTGTGTCCTACGCCAATCACTAAACCTAAAGCTGAACAAAAATGAAACACGTTTAATGGAATCTGTTAAATACTGAAAATATTGTACACTGTCAGAAATGATACATAAATATTAAAATCAAGTCTTTTATAGACGCCATAAAGCTATAAACTATGTTATAATTATGCTTAAGTGAGAGCAAATATGATAAATGTGTTAGCGCCTCGTAACATTTTGCAATACTTTAATCCGTCTTCAAACAAAATAACAAAAAAGAAACTTAACTAATTTTCTATTGTTATGTTTAGTATAGACAGAATAGTCTGTTTTATTTTCACACACGATTTTGTTTATTGTTAAAAATTCTTGTTGATTTCAAGGCAGTAAAGAAAATGGAAAAAATTAGAAATAACTCGTATTTTTAAAGCATTCCAAGCTAGTTTTAATTTGGTCCCAGATTCAATTTGTAAATGTTAAGTATTATTTCAATTTGTGAGGAGATGCATTATGATTATTGTATATTTAAAACGAATAGAAATCAACTATACATATATTTATGTATGTGTGTATATGTATTATGTTATAAGGCATGCGTTGTATTAGCCATTTATTTAATTGCTTGCTGCACTATTATTAAAAAAAAAACATTAAATCAAATCCAATATATATAATGCAAATATCTATATATAGTTGATTTATAAATTGTGTAAATAACACAGGGGCAGCAATATGCTGAACTATGATTAAATAAAGTTCGGATACAATACACGTTGTAACAGATTTTTTTTATATAATTTTACTAAGCATTATGGGTCCGTAAAACTGAATCCGAAAATTCTTCTCGTTACAGTTGGTTAGCAAAATCGTAAAGCAGAATTACTTATTGTTAAAACAAGTTTTTTTTATTGGTTTTGATTGTGCCAATAATACAAATGTTCTCACTTAAGCGTTAAAATTTTATATAAAACTTCCTCATAAAAGGTTTCTGCAACATACCAATAAATTATCTTTTATGAGTCTACCAAAAATTGTGTTTATTTTTAAAACTTTTACTTTTCGAAATTGTGATTATTTAATTTTTAAGATATTGAAAATAAATATGTACCTAAAGTATATTTTAATAATTTGCGCTATGCCTACAAGTATACAACACTTTTGAATAAACAGCGGGGCGCCGTAGAGTAGGAAACTCCCCTCCCACACACACATATATACACATCAATGCAATAATATTAGAGGCAACGATCAGGCATGGAATTTTCATGAAAGCTGTAGCTACAAAAATATCCAAATAAATCAATGTAAATCTAGCTTAATTTTACACGAGCTATAACAAAACGACAAACTTAAAAAAAAACGTGTCTTATGACAATATTTCTACGCTGCTGTTCGAGCTATACCTTACTCAAAGGAAAATCCTTCTCTAGGTCTATAAGAAACTGACATTCTTACGAGTACTATCTACATGAACAAAGCATGTTCGGTACCATGAGCAACTTATACATAATACATACCCAGCCAATGTAATGGTATATCAGATAAAATAAACAATAACCCATTTTGCGACACTTTGTTGCTAAACATAACGCATTTTGAAGTACATTTGAAATATGATCGCCCACTCATAAGTGCAACGTCTGCATATTCTGACGAATGCTCAATGTATATGCTTTATGCATATGCATATATACATACATGCTCCAGCTCTGCCGCTGTACTCAGCGACAGAGACTTATATACTTAGGAAACAAACATATAATTGAACGACACATCAGTCGATAAAATATCATCAACGTCTAAAGACTTTAGATAATAAACTGTCAAGCATTTTAAATTATTTAATTGGCGACCGTGACAGTGGTTTGCCGTTTGTGTTAAAACAAAAAATAATAATGAATAAAAATTAAAATGTTGAAATTGTTGTGCGGAAAATACAAAAAAAATTAATATAAATTAATAATAGTGCATAATGAGAGTGCGTCAAAAACAAAGATTGATTAAAATTATGAACAAAAATTGCAATCAACATTGTGCAACATGTCTTATAAGTCGAAAGTGACAAGCAACAGAATCTGATTCAACGACAACAGCAGAGAAAACAATTTCAAATTCAAGCAACTTAACAGATGACACGAACGAGTAAACCAAAGACAGCCTGTGCGATGACCAGCACCGGCACCGCCTGAGCCCATAGGCCCCGGACAGCAGCAGCAGATACCGAGAAGTAAATGAGCAACGTTCGACTGGAAGAGGCTGCTCCCGTTGAGCAAAGGGATGCGTCAGCCTGCAAGAGGCCTTAGAGGTGTACCCCAACGATGGACCACGCCCACTCACAATAGCTGAGTACCGGGCACGACAACAGAGGGAGGAAAAGAAGAAAACCAGCGGAAGAAGGATTAAACTGCTTCAACAAAGAAGACTCCTACAGGATCTTATCAAGACAACGACAACGCCCCAGGGGAGAAATGAAAAAATAAAGAATCTCGAAATCATCGAGAAACAACTTCGTACTGGTGCGAAGCAACGCAATTACGGCTGCAAGCCTGCCAATGCCTAAATTGCCCTTAAATATAAACTCTAATTCAAGCCGATGCGCGAAAGCGCTACTTGAAAAATACTAAAATCTGTTAGGCTTTTTACTAACACATTTGGTTAGACTATTATGGACCGTATGCCCTAACTTACTTTTCCTAACTTACTTTTCCTTTTCCTATATTAGTTGAAAATTCAAATTTACAATAATTGAACAGTTTTCAAAGACAAATTATTAAAATGACAGAAACTAAAAAAAAATTAAAAATATAAAAAAAAAGAAAGGCCATTGATAGATTTTCTTTAATTTATCTCCACTTGCCCTCAGAGTTGGAAAATATAAATTTTGTTGAAAAATAATAAACTTTTCCAATATGGGTTGGTTTGGCAGTGACGACGGTCAAACAAAAGACAATATGGCCAACGTAGTGAATTATGTCAAAATCATAGATCACACTGAAGATATAAAATCTTTGTTGATCTTACGAGTCATTTTAACAATCGTATTAGTTTGTCAATTTCTGTTTACCATTTACGTAAAACACAATAAAATAATTAAAAGACGTTATATGAGCAGAGCCATCAACCTAAACGGAATATAAAAACTCATAATTCTTCACATTAATAAAGTTGAAAACACCAAAAATGATAAAGATCATTTAAGATATACAAATAACGCGTTAACTATTTGACAAAAAC